CTAAGTTTGTACAACATGAGAATAAAAGCTCTTGTATACATTGGGTACGATGGATAAATTGTCGTCTAAATTACACTAATATGAAAATAACATGAACATCTCATTTTAACAGATATATTTACCAAAATTACACAAAAATATTTTGAAATACTAGAATAAATTCAATAAAATGGCTATTGGCTCCAGATTACTTTGAAATCCCCTACAAATCTTTTGGACAGGCTCCTTCTTTAAATTGGTGAATGCTGCCATAATCCTTGCCTTCAGTTCATCTTTGGTGTTACAAGGAGTTTTGTTGGTCTCTTCCTCAACTGCACCCCACATATAATAATCATGGGGGTTGCAGTTTGGGGAGTAGGTGACCAGATATAAGGGGTAATGTGGTCACAGAAATTGTCTAACAGCCATGACTAGGTTCTCCTGTTTGTGTGGCATGATGCAGAGTCCTGTTGCCAGACATAATGTCTTCCAGCAGCCACTCTCTTGACCCAAGGAAGAGGAATATCTATGTGTAACCTCACAATCTATAGTAATATTAATTACAATTTCTTTATGCTGTATTTTCAGATGTCCATCATTTGTAATTTCAAATGAAAAATTATTTCTGGTACTCCTTTATGAAGTCACTGTCATTCTAGTGAGAAGCTTGTGTGATTGTCATGAGCAAGATATGCACCATCATGTCCGAAAACACCCACGCATTGCATGCATATGGTGTCGCAGAGCAGTTGGAAGAAGGGAGAATTGGCAGAGTGCACCTACGCATATGTAAAACTCTCCCACTCAAGCAATCAGCTGCTTCATCATAGTGTATAAAATGAGTGCGTCTGAAAGCTTTGGCAGTTTGGGCTGAGGTAGCCACAAGACGACTGCCCTGTTCCAACGGGTCCTTTTTGGTGTGACAGCTACAGCTTGCATGACATATCTCCATCATAGATGAGTACCAAAAATTCTATTTCACATTATTCGGACTATTGTCCTTATCTTTGTTGCCATATTTATCACAACGTTTTGACCGTTATACGCTTCAGCCTTCTTTAGGTGGTTGGAATGTCAAACTGAACCCTTTATTTCATTCACTGGGGTAGACTGTTCTAGTTCCATGTGCCATGTCTAATGGATGTCAGTAATCAGTTATCTCCTGTTAATTCCCCTCTCCAAGTTGTCCACCGCCTTAACCAGGTATTTAACTCACACTCTTTGAGTGCTGTCACTGGGTCTAACGCCTTTATGCAGGAAATAGTTGTATACAAAAATATTCAACACTTGGATTAACAAGAAATCAGAAAGACGAGTTTGAGTTCCAATCTGGTTTGTTACATTCACTTATGCCCAAATACCACTGGGAAAGCATCTCCCCCTTGCTATGGGTTAAATAGTAGGACTTGGAAAAAATGTTTTTATTTTAGGAAAAAATGTTTTTATTTGCAAAAAGAATTTTAAAGTGATATTTACTCACAAAAAAAATATTTTGGATTTCATTAAATAAAAACATTTTTTGTCATGTGTCATGGATGAGAACAATAGTCCAAATAATACCTCATTTCAGAAATATAGACAAATTCTCTCTTGTTTATTGATACTACTCATTTACAGGGCAGCCCTACCCACTCAATGCACTTGGTGTAGGCCCCTGTCTTGAGTCTGGAGGCATAATGTCATTATTATTAATGATCACTCCAAACATCTTTTGTAATCACCATTTAAACTCTTCCACCTCATCTGCACTGTCCTCAGATTGACACCCAAACACTCTGAAATGTTCGTATTGGAGCTGCCAGCCCAAATGCCAAGTAGCACAGCAAATTACGTTATGGTGCTCTTTTTTTTCTCACAGACGGTGCCCATATGACCCTACTATACAAGTGCAGTCGACAAAATCAAAAAGAAACAACGCGCATGCGCTAAATTGAAAATATAGAATGGCGACAATTTACCTATCGCAACCTAATATTTTGGAGACGTCTTATTGATTCAGAATCAGCTGTGTTCGGTATGTGAGACGCAACGTATAACATAAAACTAACATTAATCACTAAATTTCACGGATTAGTCTCGATTTACTTTCTACAAGTTTAAAAATTATTCTATAAGTGGAATTGAATAATAAAAGATTTTCTCGGAATTTGAAACGACTGCAGATACATATACGGGGAAGTAACTCCAACTGCAGAATAACTTTTATTACCTCCCTTGTCGGAATAAAATACTTGAATAGTTTATTTATGAAATCTAACGTCGTCCTCCTTCAGAATATAGGCGATCATGGCTCTCCACAACTTCTTATCTATTTCCTCCCTTTGCTAAGGCCCCTCCCCAATTCGTAGAAAGTCGTCAGGTAAGTAGCTCACTGTCTTCCCCTATCTCTCTTGCCCGCAATATGCCTGTGCCAAGAAGGTTTACATAAATGACATGTCAAGAAACCAAAAATTATGTCCAAGGTGGAAGATGTTGGCCACTTTAGTTGCAATAAATAACATTAATCAAAATCCATCTTTGTCTTTTTTATAAAAGCCTTCTGGGAATTTTTTTTTTTTTTTTTGAGATACAAGAAATAGGTGACATAAATTTCACATGAGATATTTTCTTTGGCTGAAAATATTGGCAATAAACACAGTAGGTTGATGTTCAGTCTTTTTCTATAAGGGAATGAAGTCTAAATTCTATTTCAATTTTTAGTAGGTGCTTCCACAGATTGGCAATACCTAAGGTTTAAAATTAATTTTTAAAAATGAAAAATCTTTTTCAAAGCTATTATTTTTAGTTTTAATTTCAAGCTAATAGATTAAATTTAATATTTCCAATAAGGAAAAATACTTTCAAAACTAAATTAACTGGAATGTGTTTTCATTTTAAAAATGCTAAAAATCATTGATTTTGGCAACGTTTTTAGCTATCTATAATCACAACAAAATTCTCTTTATTAAAAAATCCTTCAAAAATAAAATTGACTTTTCTGAAGCTATATTTGAGCTGATTTTAATTAATTTGATTTGAAATAAATATTACTTCCTTTACATTTAAAATATTGTAGAAATTCATTTTTTTAACATGGAGCTTGCTGTTTATTTTAGGCGTTGACATGTTGAAAGCTTGAATGACAGATGGAAGGTTATCTAATTTTTTTCTACAGTGGACATATCTGTAAAAATTTCTTGAGTAATATAACATGTGTGCCTTTTATAATATAATTTGTAATAACCCAATGATCTTAAAAATTTAAGAAAATATTTTCTATAATCTAATGTTTTTATTGAACTTTAGTAACTTGGATTTAAATTTACTATGGTTATCACGCTTATTTACTGATAATTTTGTGTATGTACATTTGTGTTTACAAAAATCAGCATGTTTATACACACAAAAAAATTAAATTCTTTTAAAAATATTGTGGGTCACTGAATTGTAGTAAGCTTTTCTATTTATGATTAGTAAATATAGTTTTTACTTCATAACAATATCACCTAACCTGAAAGTTTTAAAACTTAATAAGTTATTCTAATTAAAATTTTTAAAAAATGCAAACAGTTAAATAATGTCTTAGTTTTATTGCATTCAAATCAGATTTTATGGAAATGAGGATACTGGTTTTACAAAATAATTGATTTAAATTCTCCAAGGAGTTCTGCATATAGCTAATATAAACATTAAGTTGTACAAAAATTAAATTCTCAAAATTTCATGGGTTGGGTTTGTAATAGATATAAAAAAAAAATGTTTTTATCAAGATTTTCTAAAACATTTCTAAAATAATTTAATTCATTTATGAATGAGTCCTGGAAGTTTCATTAAAATCTGACAATTATTTGAACTTTGCAAGAATTTCCAAATGAATGTGATTTTTCACTGCAAAAAAGCTGCTAAAATTTCTCATACTAAACTTTGGTTCTCCTGCTGATGCAAGAAAAACAATTTTCAACCAAAACTTTTGATGTTCCAAAAAGGATAAAAAATTTAATAACCAAAAAATCCTTTGGTCTTTCCTCTTTATAATAAAGATTTTGATGACAAAACTTTGTTTTTATTAAGTTGGGGGCATTTTTTCATCATGGTATCCTCAGTTTTTAATGAATCTGTGGAGTTACATAATTTTAGCAATCAAGTGATATTGTTATTAAATAAAAAAACTGTATTTACTAATCATAAATGGAAAAGCTCATTCAACGACTCCCAGTATTTTAAAAAAGAATTTTGAATTTGTGTGTGTGTATAAATGTACTGATTTTTGTAAATACAGATGTTTATACACAGCACTATCAGAAATAAGAGTGGTAATTATAGTAGATCTAAAAATTTATTGGTAATTTTCAAACATTTAAGAGCATCACCGTAAGTAAGGCTATGAGGAAAGTTTAAAATGTTCTAAGCCTCACCCAGAAGGAGTTAGAGAAACAAGACAGTTTTTCACTATTTTTCAATATAGTTCCTATTCACATCAACACATTTGGTCCAACGACGCTTAAACATTGCAATCTCATCACGGAAGAAGGTGGCGTCCTGGTATTCCCAAAATTCTCCCACAGTATAAATGATCTCATCGTTGGTTCCAAAATGGCAACCATGAAGGTTGGATTAAGTTTTAGGAAACAGGAAGAAGTAAGATGGAGCTAAGTCTGGAGAGATGGGGAAAATTTTGAAAGCCATTTTGTTGCCTCAGCTCTTTGTAAAACCTGAGCATAATTGAATGGATGCATTATCCTGGAACAAGGACACACTCAGGCTCCCAGAGGGTGCCAGCCCATTTCTCTTCTACCTTTAGTTTATATGGCCTTTTGAATAAAACCAGATTTTAAGATTGTAGATTTTAACATTTTAAAGGAAATGCTTGCACAATTTCTGAAAAACGTCTCTGGGATTAAATTACCCATTAGACATTTTCAGGAAATAATTAAATAATTAATTACAAAGTTGATACAGAATTGTTTTTTTTTTTTTTCTCAACATTTTTTTTTCTTCTTCTTATATTTATATTGGTCAACAAATGCACATGTCCATCGCAGTTTCCAATCATTAAAGTTGGAGAAGGCAAATATAAAATTGGAGAGTCACAAACATTGATTTTTGTCAGGGTGAGTTAATGATTTTTTTTTTTTTTTTTTTTAAATAAAACCATTTTGTAAATTAACTTTCTGTTCATTTCATTTAAGTTTAACATATGCCATGTAAAAAAAATAAAAAGTATGTTGAAAGGATATTTTTCTTTTCCTACTGCCTAATATTTACTTCAAAATTTTTACATTATTTGGACTATTGTCCTCATCTTTGTCGCCATATTTATTATGTTTCAGCTGTTCTACACTCTGGCCTTCTTCAGGTAGTTGGAATGTCGAACTGAACCCTTTTATTTCACTCACTGGGGTAGACTGTTCTAGTTCCATGCGCCATGTTTTTAATGGATGTCAGTTGTCAATTATTGTCTAGTTTTCAAAAAAAAAAAAAAAAAATATTCTCTCCAACATGTAGAATTGCAGAATATTCTAGCAATTAAGGTAGACAATAAAACAATGTTCCTGGCTGCATTTTAGCACCAAGTGCATAATTTCAGTTTTATTAATTGCTGTCAACTGTCTTTATCACTACTCCACCTATTTGCATCTGATATTCTATGCATAATAATATTGTTGATGACTAAAGAAACTTAAAACCATATTAGAGGACTTAGTCTCTACAATGTATAATGTTAAGATCTAGAATGATGATATTTCAGTCAGTAAGGTTTGCATTCATTCCTGACCACTGACAATCTTTTTTTCCTCATTTTCAATGTATGTTATGATCCAGAATCATATTTCAGTCAGTAATGCATGAGTCAATTAAATACCCTACTATAAAGTAGAGTTGGGGCTTTTTAATCTCAGAATTCATGGGAGAATTGAGCTTCAATTTCACATTAATTCATATAGATTGCATAAGTTTTACTTAATTAGCTATTGTGTTTTTCTAACTCTTCAAATGTTGAATGTATAACTAATTCTAATTTCTATTTTCCCATCTTTACACTATATTACTTTTATCTTATAAATTGACCCCTGTTCTGTCACCCACGAAATAAAAATAATTGTTTGTACAGAAAAATAAGTATCTACGTACATCAAATCGTCTTTAAATTAAGTGACAGCAAAAGAATTATCGTTGAACTTTTAAAAGGTAAATTTAAATATTAATGCAATACTTAAATGCAGTGATTAATTTTAAATTCTTCTGTAGTTTATTGTTGCCTATTGCATCTACTCCTCCCTAAATATTGTAATGATAGCTAAACCAAGAGGAGCTAGCTTAAATGCTGCCTGATAGGATGGCTTTTAAGCAAGCTGAAAATTTTAAGCTAGCAATTTTGGATACAAAAAGGAAAATATGAGTTACTCCCCTTGAACCATGAAAGCAATGATGATGGCTAGTATAATATATTAATATGTATTTTTACGCTCGCATAATCTGACAGCCCTGAATCTGAGCTCAATGAAAATTGTTCCCTGCACCTAACTTTTTTAGGGCTTTTGAATGAACTCTGAATCATTGAAATTGGACCAGTGGGTGTGGAGGAGTTGCTTAAACACACACACACACTGTACTTTATATATAAGATGTAAATACATTGCTAATGATTTACTATAGTAATGCATTGAATATCAGGAAGTGAGAGATTGTCAGTGGTCAGGAATTAAGATGTTACAGAATTAGTTTTCGTGTGTATATATATATATATATATATATATAGGCATGTCTGATTAAATAAATTACAAACATTATATCTGATTATTTTTGCATAATCCTTTCATATTCACAAATATTTTTCTGTGTATTATTTTTCATGTTCTAATGGAAGCTAAAGTATTACTGTCAACTGTTGCATTTAAACATTTAAAGAAAAAATTCAGTAATGGATAGCTACTGTTGTAGAATAGTTTCACAAAAAAAGGCTTGTATTTGTACTAAAAAAAAAAATAAATAAATTCGAATTACAAAACACTAAAAACTTGATATAATAGGTAATTACGCAGTTTTTTTAGTTAATTGGCTGATACTTTATAATATCCGACTAACACAAAAGTCTGACATCAACTGCCTGACCAAAAATATTTAGTCACCCCCCCCTACAAGGGCATCATGTTTTGAAATGCCAGTTTAAAGTTATTCTCAGAACATGGGCTTATTTTAAAATATGCCCATTGAACCCTTATAAACGGGTTCATGGTTGGTTTAAATTTCTCCAAGAGAATCAAAAATATTGTCAAAATCATTCAGGTTCCTCCCCAACATATTGATATATATTTAACCACTCAAATGGTTGATAACATTTTATTGACTGACCAACACCCTAGTGACTTCTACTACTCCTAATTATTATATGTGGTAGAATTTATTAAATATAGAATAGGGGTGTTCCACTATAACAGCTACACATAGTTTTTGCCTTCCCAGTTGCACCTCTGATGATGATCTCGAAAAGAGATGGAAAGTACTTGTGAAATAAATGTGATTTTTCACTGCTACAGTGCATTTTTTGATTGTAATACATGGAAAAATATTTGTCAATATGAAAGGATTATGATAAAAATAAGCAGAGATAATGTCTAATTTATTTAATCTGACATGCCTAAAAGAGAATTTGCTGTCTAAATACATATATACACACACACACACACACACACACACACACACACATATAATTATTTATTTAAAAATATGATTCCATCGCTACATAAGAGTTCTCATGTTTCAAAACAAGAGCTGAAAACTTCAATATAATTATTTGAATTAAATTGAATTAAAGTACCAAGCTCTGTTCCATCTTCAAGTGAAATTTTTTTGGAATAACTAATTCCTGAAATTTACACGTTTTATAAGCATATTCATTATTAAAATTAAAATTACTATGGTAACAGCTAGAGCAATTTAAAAAAAAAAGGGGGGGGTCATAAGGGTTAATAATTTGTATCAATATCTCAGTTACATTCAAAGAGGTTAAGTCAGGGTAGGGTTGGGGTGTCTAAATTCAAAGCGGAAGATGACATCATCTAGTCTGGTTAAATGTGTATGGAGATTTATTTATTTTTTATTTTTTTCCCTGAAAGGATTTTGTGTATATAAAAAAAAAACGGCTTCATAAAGGTTTTCTTTTTTTTTTTTTTTTTTTTTGGGTAGGGCATTTAAACTTTTTATTTAGACTATGGAGTTTAAAATTTGTATTTATTATTTTATAGTTTGTTTTTTATGCTAATTATTCAGTGCAAAAATTTGATGATGTCAGCAAAAAATGTCTATTGTTTAATAAATTTTTATTTTTTAGAAACTTGATAATATATAATTTTTTTCTAAATAAATCCATTACAACCAAAAAACGTTTTACAAGAATACCTCTCTTCTCTTTTTTTAATATACATAAATTTCTCTCGTTGGAACCACTACAACATATTTCTTTTATATATATATATATATATATATATATATATATATATATATATATAATAAAAAAATATCTTCATGTTCTCTGCTCTTATTATAATTTCTTCTTTCAAAATAGTATCATTTTCTTTTATTTTCTAATGTTTTCATTATGCAGATATTACGAAACCATGTGATGGTCAGGGTGGGTGGTGGATGGGACACACTCGAGAATTATCTTGACAAACATGATCCTTGCCGGTGCCATTTTAAAGGTAAGTGTCACAAGTTCAATTCTTGATTGATTTATTTCCGTGTTTTCATCCCAACAATTTTTCAAATGACAGATTAATTATAATTATCTTTCTAGATTATCCAACTGCATTTAATTAAAAGAAAAAAAAAATGGAAAAATCGTTTTCTTTTGCCCAAATAACGAGCACAGCTTGCTTATTTTATAGAGAAATACCAAAAAATGTGTCCAAAGAAAAAATGTCTCTTATTATGAGGAAATCGCAAAGGAGATTGGAGTTTAAGTATTGCAGTCCCAGTGTTGATAAAGGAATGTCAGACTCTGATTATATTGAATATGTCTTTTTTTCTTTTATTAATGTTCACTGTATATAAATCCCAAGAGCCACTCAAGGTAGAGGGTTACTGAAGGAGATTGTTGTATGAGCAGTAAGAGTAATAGGTAAGAGGCATAGTTCATGCAGATATGTAGGAAAGATAACAGCTAACCCTAGACTTAAGTTAAGATTTTAGTTGTCGGGATGACATCATCTGAGTATCTGTCTATATTTCTGAGATGAGGTATTATGTACACTATTTACATTATTTTGACTATTGTCCTCATCTTTGTCGCCATATTTATCACAACATTTCAACTGTTGTATGCTCTGGCCTTCTTCAGTATCTGTCTATATTTCTGAGATGAGGTATTATGTACACTATTTACATTATTTGGACTATTGTCCTCATCTTTGTCGCCTTCTTCAGGTTGTTGGAATGTTGAACTGAACCCTTTATTTCACTCACTGCGGTAGACTGTTCTAGTTTCATGTGCTATGTTTTTTTTTTTTTGTTTTTTTTTTTGCTATATCAGTTACCTCCTCTCCAAGTTCTCCACTGCCTTAACTGGGTATTGAACGCTGTGTCATGTCTTGGGTGATGGACACCGTTCAAGGGTAATCACTAGGTATAAAACAAATTGAAAAAATTGCAGGCTTGAGTCGTTACTAAATAAAGGAAAAACTATTAATGACAAGTGCTGTGGAGTATTTGTAATTAATATTATTTAGGTTTGGTTTCAATTTTTTGATATAAATAGCTTTGAGAATTTTTATTTTGTGTTTATTCTTTTCGTAGAAAAGTATGGAGGTATTTTCAATGAGGATTTGGATAAAGGCGTTAGATCCAGTGACAGGACCCAAAGACTGTGAGTTCAATACCCAGTTAAGGCAGTGGAAAACTTGATAACTGACATCCATTAAAACATGGCACGTGGAATGAGAACAGTCTACCCTAGTGAGCGAAATAAAGGATTTAGCTTGATATTCCAACCACCTGAAGAAGGCTGGAGTGTACAACAGCTGAAACGTTGTAATAAATATGGCGACAAAAATGAGGACAATTGTCCCAATAATGTAAATAGTGTATCATCTCAGCGGTTCCACAAAAGTAACAGTTGACAACTAATACTTTATATTACCATACAAATTTCTTTCCCTATATGGAAGAGTTGCTCATCTGCCATTTTTTTGTCAATATATATATATATATATATATATATATATATATATATATATATATATATATAGTCATCCACAGACAGACTGTTTCGCTGTGTCACAGCTTTTCAGTGTTGCTAGACATCCAATTGCTACTAGCGGGATTGAAACCCCGTTGATTTGACATCAGTCGGATATCTTACCCCTAGGCCATCATCATATGGTAGAAAAGGATGGGAATTTTAACTTTTTTTTTTCTATACAAAATATGCCAGCAGCTCAGAGAACTCAATTCGTACTTGAAGAGTAATGCTTAATAACAATAGGAGCCACTGTTTATATATATGTATTTCAAACATATATTGTTAAATATAGAAGACAACAAATATCTATTATGTTTGATCATGAGCTGTTCTAAGCTTTGTATAGTGGCTTTAGTTTCAGGAGAAAATAAAGAAAAAAACTGTCCAACATTTGGATATTTTTTATTGTTCCTCAATCTAAGCTTTTGTCTCACATGATAACATGATGTCCCCAGCTACTTGCGTGCTGCAGAAAACCAACATTATTTATAAATTTAAATGTCCTCTGGAAGATTCTATATCCAACGATAAAAATATCTATGTTGAACACACCACAACAATGCTTTCACATAGGCTAAGTCTTCACCTGAATAACACATCCAATATTTCTAAACATTTACAACACTTGCAATTCAGAAAAATCCTCATCGAAAATATCTCCATACTTTTCCACGAAAAGAATAAACACAAAATAAAAATTCTCAGTTATTTATATAAAAAATTGAAACCAAACCTCAATAAAATGAATTACAAATACTCCACAAACATTTTAAAATGTGTACAATAGTCTTTAAACGTTAGCACTTGTCGTTAATAGTTTTTTCTTTATTTAGTAACTACTCAGGCCTGCAATTTTTCCACAGCATACCTAGTTACTTCCCCTTAACTAGTGTCCATCACCCAAGTTATGACACAGCATTTCTGATTCCACATATAAAGATGGTAATTTTCTGATGACCACAACAATTTTTGTCCTTCACAACCATGTACACTAAATATTCTTATATTTAATTAAATATAAATGCTGATGACATCATGCTATGTCGAAAGTACTCAAAATAAATACAATATGAGCCAACACTCGTCTTTTAATAACTGCACAAAAAAAGCTTATCTGCAAATATAACAAGAATAAGTAGAAAATTATTTAACAAAATCTGTCTTAATGAAAATTTGCTGCCAAAATATATGCACACACATACATACATACATACATACATATATATATATATATATATATATATATATATAAAACTAAAAAATCGGAACTTCAATCCAAAAATTTAGCTGATTCGCCATGGAAATATTTTATATTTCACAAGAAAAATAAAATTCAGTTTCACTTCATCAGATCATGCAGTTTTCAAAACAATGAAAAATTCAAAAATTCTTTCAGGAATCATCTGACAATTTTATATATATATATATATATATATATATATATATATATATATATAAAAGCATTTTATATGTTATTTACATTCACATGGTAGCTGAATACAGAATTGAAAAGTTGGTTTTCTACAGTGAAGTGTCTCTATCTATCTCTCTCTCTCTCTCTCTCTCTATATATATATATATATATATATATATATATATATATATATATTGTCCATATTAAATTTTATTTGAGCTGACTTAGTAACAACAATAATATATCAAATTGATTCCAGCCTTGTTGATATTCTCACGTTATAAATGTCAAATTAACCTATATCAAATGAATAAATTAATGTAAAATAAAACAATAAAAGTAAAAAAGAGAAATAATAATATTAGTGTAGATTTATAAAAATAAAAATCATTGTTTAAATAATTTTAAGTTATATTAAAAATAAAATGAATTTACCTCCCTTTCTAAAAATGTTATTACCTCCCCTTTTAAAAAATGAAATAACCTTAGTTTAAAAAATAAAAAGAGAAAAATTAAAACAAAAATTTAATATCATAAGTGATAAAATGGAAATTTAGTAGAATTGTTTAAATATAAAAATTTTATTTAATATTTTTAATGTAATTCAATAATATAATTAAATCTATATAAATAAAATATAATCATTGATAAATATGAATAAAATATCTTCTTATAATTGTGCTTTTAATTTGTTCAATTGTATGACCATATATCATAAATAATGGACTATTCAGTTTTGATTGCATGGCAAGAGGGTCGATCGGTCAGTTGGTTGCTTTTGTTTAACATCATATCAACTTCTATTGGTTATTCATTGCTGAAAGAGAAATATCCCACACACAATTTTACACTTTCAGCTACAGATACCTTGTATAGAACTTTATACTTTCAGGGTGAAGGCATTTTTTTTTGTTTTTGTTTTTTTTTTTTTAGGTATATAGTTTCTCAATCATAAAATGTATTGTTGGTAATTTTACAATAAAAATATATTTTTATATATTTTTTTTAGTCTTGCATTGATTGTCATTTCGCTATAAAAATGTCTTGTTCATCATTTTATTATAAAAATGTATTGTTGATTTTTATTTGGGGTGTTCACTATTTGCCCATAGCTGGGGCCCTAACAGGTGCTACCACCCCATGGCAAGTGGGGGAAAAGACAGTACTTGGTTTCAAGGAGAAAATGAAAGAAAGATAGAAGTGGAGAGAAAGAATTGGATTAGGCTGATAAGAACAGATACTACACTTTGATCTTAGCCCAAATGCCAAAGAGTGGTATTCATCTCTCACACACACACACTCCTACCCACAAAATAAAAATAAGTTTAGGATGCAACACAAGGTCAGTTTTTAATGTGGGGAACCCAAGCGTTTCCACTCAGGCCTGGTCAAAATTTCCCCATCCCCCACTTACGCAGATCCAAGCACAAGGTTTGTCTTAGCTGTTCATTGCCTCTCAAAGTCAAAAGGCCAAGGAGCAATGGCAGCCGATTAAAGAGCCAACTTTCAGATCCACATTATTGAACGACAGAAATCAAGTAAGGCAATCGGCAAAAATTCAGTTAACGTAAATAAAATAACATGATCTGCTAAATTATTTTAAAATTATTATTAAGAGGAAATTATTATTAAGAGAAATATTCATAAGATGGGGATTCTGATTGCATGGAAAGAGGGGAAAAGACATTATTTCAGTGAGAAAATCAAAGAAAGAAGGGAAGATAGAAATGTTTAACGTCTCCTGCCAATACCTCATAAATAATGGACTATTCCATTTTGATGACATGGAAAGACAGGAAAAAACATAACTTTGTTTCAGTGAGAAAATGAATGAATGAAAAAAAGAAAGGGAAAATAGTAGTGTTTAACGTCTGTTTCAGTGACATGGAAAAAGTTGTCAATTTCAAATCTTTTTATTTGTACCCCCTTACTTCTTAAAATAATGACCAGCATTCATATTTATGATTGTTATTGCAATATTTTGTTAAAGTTGTTAAGCTTAAATATTTAACAATGTGATAGAGGAATTTCTACAGATATTTTATTGATATAGAACTCACCAAGAGCTTATTCAATCATTAACTTATTAACGTTCATCAGTCTATTAAAATAGAAAAACCATGAAATTTTCACAGGTTAAAACTAGTATTCAGTTAAATTCTAGGTTCATCTATCACCAGGCCACATTTATTAAACAGCTGTAGAAGTTTATCCGTTGTTTCCTGTTTTGGATATGGTTTACTAGTTTCTTTCTTTCATGGGCATAATGATTTAACTGTCTTAACTTTTTGGAGATCTGACTTTCATTTTGAGGATGCTGTGTTGGAAGATTTCTACATCTGACTGGTAGTAAAGAGCCTGAACTCTTTGGTAGGCTCTTACAGAGGCTGCCCTAGTCAATAGTAATGTATTATCACGATATTTGTAGTGCCATGTCATGCATAGGTAGGTGTCCCTTGCTGATATGCACCTTTTAGCTGCAAAGTGTCTGATATCAAAAACAAGATCTTTTAAGAAATGTCGATAAAATGTGGAAAATCCTTTATTTTATAGATGTTGCCTTAACAATTTTGATGTCGTTCCTCCAAACAAGATCGTTTACTTTTGTCCATTTTCATTTTTTATTTTAAAATTTTAATAGATGTTTTTTAATCTTCTTGTCATTTTTATCACATTTAAAAAAATTCCTTTCTCCTTTTTCTCTTTCTCCTCTTCTCTTTTCTCCTCTTCTCTCTTTCTCCTCTTCTCTCTTTCTCCTCTTCTCTCTTTCTCCTCTTCTCTCTTTCTCCTCTTCTCTCTTTCTCCTCTTCTCTCTTTCTCCTCTTCTCTCTTTCTCCTCTTCTCTCTTTCTCCTCTTCTCTCTTTCTCCTCTTCTCTTCTCCCTCTGACACTTTTCCATTCTCCCTCTCTCTTTTTCTTTTTAATCATGTCACTCTAGGCAAGGCAATAAAGCCACTAAGATGCAAGAAGTTATACTTGATATTTTTTTTCTCTCTCTCTTTACTTGCTTTGTCTGTTTGTCTCTCTCTCACTCTATCTCTGCATTTCTTATCTGCTTCTCTCTTTCTCTCTCTCTCTGCATTTATTGTCTGCTTCTATCTCTCTCTGCCCTCCTTTTCTCTCTCTCTCCTCATTTCCCAACAGGTGAACTGTTCATCTAACAGTTATTCTTACCTGTAATTAGTAACTTGGTTATTTTTGCACTTCCAACTTTAATTGGTTTATTTGTTCCAATTTTCATCCTATTGTCTGGTATAGACTAGACTCAAGGCTGAAAAATGTGTGACAAGTGTAGTATCAGGGTTGGGGGGGGGGTGACGTGGGTTTATGTGAAGGAAGATGATTTTCTTTGGGTTTGAACCCTGTTCAAATAGTTGCATTTGGATAGCAGAAACAGTAAAGCAAGTTATATTAACACATAACAAATTTCATTATATTATTGGCTTCTTAGTGCTGAAATATTTTGATAAAATGAAATAGTGTACAAAGGAAAGTCAACTTGAAAAGTTTCTTTTTTCACTGTTATCAGCTATTTGTTAAGTCAGTTCCTTTTTATGCCACACAGTACACAATTTCTCTTTGCCATTGTGGTAAAGTGGGAAAAAAATAACCTGACAGGTAACTTTTGTACTTCGGGATTGCTCTCTGTGCAGCAATGCTGTTAAGTATCCTTTTATAAGATTAGCCTCTATAAAGTAACTCAGATAGCTGTGTTTATTTAATTTTTTTTCATGCTTTTCATTAGCTAAAAAATAATTGTGGATATTGTGTTTTGAACCAGAAATTACTTCTCTGGGAATTTTTGTTTTTTAAATTCTTGTCCTTGACACCTTTTTTGTATTTGAAGAAATGAAGGACAAAAAAAGATTTCCTTTTTCTCTGCTCCCTTATTATCCTTCTTTTTCTTTCTTTCCTCCTTTTTCTTTCTTTCCTCCTTTTTCTTTCTTTCCTCCTTTTTCTTTCTTTCCTTCTTTTTCTTTCCTTCCCCCTTTTTCTTTCCTTCCCCCTTTTTCTTTCTTTTTGTAGGTCTGAGGATTTGGATTGTGATTAAGATTCCAATGTCATAAATTATTACCATGGACTATTAGTGTTTGAGCCTTTTATATTATATTCTTACTCTGTCCTGGACATTAAGTTCTACCTGGATTCTATCCTCTTGGGAATTTATTTATTTATATATATATATATATATATATATATTTTATTTTGAAAATTCTGCCCTGTTTGACGTCACATTTTGTTTAAAAAAAATAATTTGCTACCTCTTGTTTCTTCTCTTCCAAAGTCCACTCTGTCATAAACAGAATTCTGGACTCTGTTTCTTGAATTGTTTATTATTGTTAATTCATTTAAGTTTTAATTCTTCGAAAACCATTAACAGTCATTTTTTGGGCTGTAGACAGTAGGCATCTACTTTTTCTCATAGTCTGGCATAAAGCTCGTCTTTATATAACTTAGGAGTGAACATTTTTTTCTTTTTACTTTCATCCTTTCCAAAAAACAAAATAACGAAGCTGTTATCTGATGAAGGACTTTTGTCTGAAAAAGTAAGAAAGAGTTTCTTTGATTTTTGTTCTACATTTTATTTTACTAAGGTTTTTTTCATATTTTTTTCTATCTATTTAATCACCCCCCCCCAAAAAAAAAAAAAAAAGACGGTCTATATCTTTGATTCGAGGCCATCTTATTTTTATTTTTCTATCTTGCTCATTCTTACCCTGACTCTAATTCCCTCATACCAACCCATCAATTAGGGGTAAGGAAAATACTTACTTATACTACTACTACTACTACTATTATTAAAGCTTTTACTTGTTACTGTCTTCACATTAGTCTGTGTTTAAAATTTTTTTTTCAGGGTTGGGGGTGAATCATTTATTTACCTTTCCCTGTTATTTTTGTCTGTGACAAAGCAAACATTTACTTCTCTCTCTTTAATCCTATTCATTCTTTCTCTCTCTCTTCTCTCTCTTCTTCTTTTTTTACTTTAATTTTCTAAAGTGGCACATTCTCTTTCTCTCCTCTTAATCATTTTTCTTCCTCTTTTTTATCTTCATTAAGGCTTTTCTTTGATTCCCTTAATTCTTTCTCCTTCTCTTTCTAACACCCCCCCACCTCTGCCCATCAACAAATTTACACTAATTTTCTTACGTGACACAATTCTCTTTCATCCTCTCTTCACTCACTCAGCTAGAGGATCTCTCTTTACAGCTCTCTCTCTCTCTCTCTGTCTTTTTAAGTTCTCTCTCTCTATTTTGCTAAGGTATTTTTCAAGTGACATATTCAACCTTTCTTCCTCTCTCACACTCCCAGAGTTTCTCTTTTTTCTTTTCTCCCCTACATTTTCCCCCTCTCTTTTTCTTTCTCTCTGTCTCTCTCTCTCCCCACTTTTACTTGTCGAAGATTTTACGCTAATTTTCTCATGTGATACAGACCTTTCTCTTTCACTCTCTGCACATATAATCTCAAGAGAGAACCCAAGCTAA